CAAAACGGCCCTAAAATTTTCCTTTTATTTTCCTTATTCATCCGTTTAAAGTAAAACACACATTTTTTTAATTAGATTTTAGTCTTTTTCAAAACCAAAAAAATAAGATGTCCAACAATTCATGGAGTGCCATTAGGTGTGGACAATGTGAGAGTCATGGAAGACATTGTCATTGGTGAAAATGTTACACTACCAATTCCTGTTAAGGGGGAGATAAAGACATTAAATCAAACCATTGGTAGCTTCGTGGCATGGCTTCGTAGACTAGTAATTTTAGATGAGGAGAAAAATGTATGTCTTGTTCTAACTTGAGTGAGATTTTAATTTTTCATTTGTTAAATGTTTGTAATTTTGTTTGTCAAAGGTTCCTTTGACGTTCTTCTCCTCGAACGTCGAAGCCAATAACACAATCATCTAAACATATTGATGTCCATATGACTATTAAACTCCTAAATCAATATGTCATGCGTACGATGAACCACAAGGATGTCATTGGATTCAATATTGGAGATTACATATTTGGAAGAGAGAAGATCATTAGTTTAACACGTGATGACATCATGCAATACTGCGAGATGATTGAAATAGGCTATATGTGTGTGGTCACATACATTTCGTAAGTATATTAAATCTATTTCATATCTTAGATTCGTTAACTAAGAAGTTTAATGTTTTACAATTATATTTTTAGGTATCTTTTTAATGAATGTGAGGAGGAGACATGTAAGAAGTTCTTGGTGGTTGACCCATACAACATTGTACCACAAATAATGTCTCAAGAAACTTGTTCCAGACATCTAGCCAACAGGTTAGACATGGGTAACTTAGAACAAGTGGTACTCATCCCACATAACAGTGGGTAAGCTAGCAATTTAACTTCATTTTACTTATTTATAGTTTCTTTTATCCATGCATGAATGATAATATTATCATGTTGGTTATTAATAGTTTTCACTGGAAGTTGTTTGTTATACATCTCTGAGAGAATTGTGTTTATGTATTGGACTCTCTAGGAAGTAAGATTGAAGAAAATTATAAGGGAATCATAAACACGTAAGTGCCTTGAACTCTTCTAGTTGAAATTTTTACAATTATGTTATTCTAATGTTTCAAATTATTTAGATTATTGAAAATGTGGCAAGCCAAACATTCTACTCAACAATCTCGCAGTACTACAATTTGGAAACCTGTGAAGGTAAATTTGCATAAATCATAACAATGTCGCAGTAAATACTTTGTATAACTCATAATTTTGTTATTTTCCAATTTTTCATAGTGTCCTCGACAACTAGGTTCTATTGAGTGTGGGTACTATTTGCAAAAGTATATACGAGAAATAGTGCGGAACCCTTATGCTCCTATAATTGAACTTGTACGTATTATCATATACCTTTATGTGTTTATATATGATTTGTCATTATATTAGAATTGTCTTTCTTTTTCTTTTTTTTTTTTGTAGTTTAATACAAAAAGTGCCTATCAACAAGAAGAAATCGACGAAGTTCGAATAGAATGGGCATCTTTTGTTGAACGATTTGTGTAGTACCTATGGATTCATTAGTTGTGTTTATTTGATGTAAGTATTTGGTTCAGACTACTTTCTGTGTAGTACTTGATAGATTAGAAATACTTTTTCTTGTTTATAATATGTAGAAGTTTGAATGGTGTATATATATGGTACTGCATAACATATTAGTTTTGGATTATTATAGAAGTATTTGACTGATGATGCTGAATGTGTTGGATTGTTTTGTTTATAATATATAGAAGTCTAGATTCTTACGCTGAATGTAGTTTTGTTGGAGGGACGGGTGGTCCCATTTGTTCTTGTGTGGAAGGGTGTTAATATAGAAGTGTTTGTTTTTTTTATAACCATGCTAGTTTTGAGTTATTCTAAAAGTGAAGAGGTTATGTTGAAATTTTTACTTTTGATTATTTATTTTTTGAATTTAAGGTTAGTTCTTGAGTTAAGTTTTAGAAGATCATGATGTTGAAATTAGTTTTACTTGCCTATTAGTTTTTGAGTTTCAATAATATTGAGAATTATTTTGTGAGAATAGGTTGGAAGAAGATATATTGGTTGGTTAGTTTTGAGTTATATTCTAAATTGGAGAGGTCATGATGAAATTTGTACTTACTTTTGCTTGTTTGTGTTTTTGTTAAGCTTTTATAGAATAGGTTGGAAGGGAGAGATATATTGTTGGCTAGTTTTGAATTATTCTAAAAGTGGAGATCGTTATGTTGAAATTTGTACTTTTGATTATTTGTGTTTTGAGTCTAAGGTTAATTTTTTAGTTAAGTTTTAGAATAGATATTGTTTTATAATGGATGAATGTGTTAAAATTTTTAGTTATATATTGAGATATTATCATAGGTTTGAAGGAAATATATATAGTTGGTTAGCCACGGGGCAACCAAATATTTTTTTAATTAATTTATTCACAAAATAATGACGGTGAATGCCTGTCACGAAATATAGTCATTTCATAACGAACATAGGATGGCGTACAAACAATGACGCACATACAATGCCTGTCACGAAATCTATACCTCTTAAAATCAGCAATTATCTTCCTCTAATTACTGAAAGGACAGCAAATACAGTTCCTTTCCTTATTTTCTCGACACTGTTTGATTACATTTTAGATCGTGGAGATTCTTTTCCTTTTAGAAAAGAATATTGCCTTGTAAATCCTGCCCATTAAAGCGCATTCCTTAGATGGAAAATGCCTTAAATATTCTTTTTGTGTATGTTAAAATGCACCCTCGGGTTTATCATTTCCCGTCAAGGCATTTAGTTTAATACACATCATTTCCTCTGTGCAATTGTTCTTTAAGCTATAGAATTTGAATTTAGCTAAATTCTCTCTAAGTATTTGATACCAGCTAAAATATGTGTAAGCACACGCAGTTGTAACAATGTAATATGACAAATATTTCAAGTTATCATTTCCTCATGGACTTTATAAAGGACAATCAGATTGATTCAAAATAATGCTGGAAAGAAATGGGGGTTGGAAGAAATATTGGTTTTTGTGTATTGAAATAAATGAAAGATACTAAAACATAAACGATAACAAAATTTAAACAAGAGATGAGATTATCACACAATGATGAGAGCAAGATTCAACTAGACAAATTCTCAATTACCACGTATGTTGTAGCATGCTTTTAACACTAACCTATGTAAATCTGAGCAGTGAATTCTATTTACTACCCCTCCCAAGGATCCATGGAGTTGTTCTTATAGAGTTTCGTATCTCTACGGTTTCCTTAGCAATCTTCTCCATTTTTTTTTTTCCTACCCATAACACTTTACGAACTAAACAAGTTATCTCTTGAAAAACTCTCTTAATTTATATTTCTTTATTCAATTCTTGAAATCTTCCATATTGGGTCAATTTGTGGTTTACTTAGTTGATCAAGTTTAATAAACAATAACAATGATGTATAGAATAAAGAAAACATCAAGTCAACGTATATTAAGAAAACTACAACACTATTACAACATAAAGAAAACAAAATGGAGTACAACTCAACATAAGTGAAAATTGATGGTACATAAGTTCTCCCCTTCGAGATGAACAATGAATTATCTCTTGCAAATATTTAGCCGCAAGCAAGTGGAAACTCTGTGAAAAAGCTTTTGATGCCTGAGTTCGTGAACTGCAAGGAGCTCCTTTAAGGGAGGTAAGCCTTTTCTCGAAGTCTTGAACCTTTCTTTTGAAAGCTGCTGCCCAACTCTCTCTTTTCAACTTCGGATATCTCTGTAGGATCTCTTTCAAAAAATATTTTCTATTTATATTATCCATGCGCGTTGCCAAAGAAATCTTCTATAATAAAGACTTTCCTTATCTATCGCATTTTTCAGGTCTGGTGAACCGTAGTGCTGCATCATTGCAATTATCAAGGGCGTTGTGTTTCCACAGTATAGTGGTTCTTCTGTTTGCTCCAGCATTTCGCAGCGCATTCATACATCATAAGCTCCAGAAGATGCTACAACACTAATCTGCACTTGCATGAAATTATCAACAAAATCTTAAGAAATACAACACAATTTTTAACATGCATAACAATTCACAAAATATTCCAATTCAGCTAGCTTATTTCATCTCAAACTTCTTTTTTCTTGGAAAACAATAGACTAAAGCAACTATTTCAAGAATTATCACACTAAAACGTAGCCTATTTCTTGTCCTCAAGAAATWWAATAAAAAAAATTTTTGTAATAACAATTTCACAATAAATTTCTACATCACTTTCAATCTCTTCTTGCACTCATTCAAGATTTTCCTCTACTCATTGGATGAAAAATGAGTTTTCTCGCACACACTCTCCCTCTTTTCTACTCCTGCTTAACCCTTGGTTTCTCCAACCAACTCTGACAACTCTTGTACGTCTCAAATTTTACCCTTAAAACTTATCTGAGATCTATTAAACCAACCACACCTAACCTTTAGCACTATCAATGTGTATGACAGACACAAATATGAAGCAGAGTTTGTTTATTTTCTTTTATTTTTTGTAAAGAGGGGATCCGTGGGTCAAGCTACCTGTGYGCTAATGCATGCTGTAGCATTGTCACCTATGGTATCTACTACATTCATTGCTTGGTCCATCTTTGATGTAAAAGGAGTTCAACTCCTTGCATGAAGATTGACCTTTTCTTATTGTTTTTTTTTTAAGGAAAGGTGAGGGTAATGCACCTCACAGCCAAACTCAATATAAACAATATATTTTTATTGAACTAAAGTAAATCAAGGGATCAATATAAAGATGTTGGATATGATTTTAAGAGGTATGTATCGTGAAAGCATCTAAGTTGAACAAGTGTAGGTAGACGTGATGGACTAAAGTGCTAAAACGAGAGGATTTGGAGGTGGGAAATGATCTGATATATGCAAGCCCTATAGCACAACGGAGGCTTTGAAACGACATGGGAAGACCTCTTTGAAGTGAAGGACATTCAGCGCCCAGGAACTTACATGCTCGCCGACCTATGTGGTAAATTGTTTCCCCAGACATGGAATGTAGAGAACTTGAAAATTAAGTATCCATGAATTGTACAAACAACMCTTATTAGAGGGAAATGTAAAAAAGTTCTAACASATTAATAAAAAGTTTGTTTATCATAATTGATCGAGTCTTATACTAACACGACAGTTGGGAATTCTCTACCTCCATGAATAAGAGAAGGAGTGCAAGCGTGTACGATTACAAGTAATGTAGGTAAAAGTAATTCCAAGTTCATATTTCTCTGGGACTTTTGATTCAAAATGAATTTGGTGAAATGTTTCTAACTGAAATCCGCTTTTATTGGTAAAAATAAGTGATGAAGTCTTTAGTTTGCAGCAAATTAATTGGTTTTGTTTTAGTTATTCTCATTCTTCTTAATGCTATTATTTGATTGATATGGATGWTATCATACCTACTTGTTTAATTAATAAAATTTGATTATGATGTCTGGTCTAAGTTAATTAAATGAAGAGAATTAAAACTTATGGCGRCTGTGTTRAGTAAGTAAATAAGTTCTTGATTAAGAAATCAACTTTGTGTAAAGCCTATCATCCAAATTACAATTGGATTAAACTCACGCCTTTAGATTGGAAGTTTTGTAAGATTGATTTTTAAATTAAAAATTTTAGTTTATAGATCAAATTTCAAATTTCTGAAATTAAAATTAGAAAACCCTCCATTTTATTAAACTTTGAGAATYTAATTCTATTTATTTTCTTGGGATTTGACTTGGTCTCACTACTTCCACAAGTTAGATTTAGTAAAATAAGTAATTATTTTTTAGGGTCTCGACAACCCTTATAAAAAATGGCGGCATTGCTAGGAGTCAATTATTAGTTTCTCATTATTTCATTTAAATATTTACTTTTAATTTTTCTTTTAACATGATGGCAAATTATTGGACAAGAGCAAATGTAGCAGTTAGACGCCTAAATGGGTAAGTCAACTTAAAAGTAAATTTTTTGATTTAACTACTTTTGTTTGTCAATTGCTTGTAGAACAATCTCAAACAGAAAAAGCACATCGTATGTACTCACTTCAATGATATCTTACACATATCTTCGATCTCAACAATATTTCATTCAAGCRACCAATATTGTAGGCAGATTTCCTAATCCACCCCACCATGACCCCTACTATAATCACTAAAATTCTTGATAGAGAGATCACCCAAATTTGACCTATGAAAATTATAACTTCATTAGACGACCTTCATCTGGTATACAAGACTCACGTATGTCTTTTGAAGATCTTGTTAGGAATAATGCTAATAGTAATCTC